CAAAATATTCCTAAATGAAATAATTAATGTCATAGTTTATTTTGTTTTCTAGCAACAAAAAAAAAAGAAAGTTTTTTTGACCTTTGTTATACAAGGAAACGATTCATTACATAATCAAAGGGATCTAAACAAACGTCAAACAGACATTTGAAATTTTATGATACCTGTAGCAGCCAAATGGATTAACACAGAATTATTGGAGAAATTTTGGTAGAGACAAAATTTTCAAAATGTCAATTCCAAACCTTTTAAAAAATCGTTCACATAGTTTTTTTTTTATTAATACGAAAAAAATCTGGTGCATCACACAACTTTCACTTACCACCCTCTTTAAGTAATAAGTATTTTCAGACAAATGTGAAGTGATATTAAAAATTATAGATGAAATATTTATTTATATTTCAATGTAGGTATTTTTTATTTGTTTAAGTACCTTTTTATACATATACAAATTTTAATATTTATATCGCTGTAATTTATACAATTAAATAATAAATAATACCAACGAATTTATGAAAACCCCATACGTATATGTACATAATATTATTAGGGTTCGTATTATATTTATTGAATATAAAATTTATATTAATGTAATTACAGTAATTTATATTAAAATAATTACAGTAAGATCGAGTGTGAAGAACATCCCGAAGATTTATGAATGATCGTAAGAGAGTTGTGTTCCACTAAGACAACGCAAGGCCCCATACCTCATTGGTCATTCGCATTAAATTATTGAGCCTTGGATGGAAATTTGACCTATATGCCTCACCCTCTCTATTCACCAGACCTAGCACACTACCACTTACTTATTTGGGGCTCTGCAGAACTCCATGAATGAATAGAAATTCCAAAAGGGAGAGGACATCAAAAACCCACTTGGATCAGTTTTTTAACAATTACCTCCAGACATCCTATGAACATGGATGGCACTATGCAGTTAGTGAAAAGATGGGAAAAAGTCATATTATATAATGGTCAATATATTTTAGGTTAAAATAAATTCTATGTCTGTAATACATTGAGTTTTATTTCTCCCTGAAAGGAATTATTTGCCAACCCAAAACTAGGTTTAAGTTCAAAGAATACTTGTAAATATTTAAGACTATTTCCGAATTACCTAAACACTATGGCGCATATACCAGACTTTCATAATTCAAATTCTGTCAATCCAGCAAATTTATAGTAATCCTAAAATAAAATGAAACATTAAATTAAAAAATAAATATTATTAATGATTACCGATGAAATACTTAAATACTACATCCATCAATCACTTTTACGTGATAATATTTTTATTTTTAATATTTCTTCATGGATTTATATAGTATTTTATAACAACTAAGGACATACGTAATAGTGATATAGGAGTCCATTCATCACATAGGGAAAATAAATAAATAAAATGGAACAACATCATACTATGTTATATTTTATTAAATTTGAAAAACCGTATTGGACAATTTAAAAATTACCTTCGAATTCTGCTATCTCAACTGAAAGTATTAAGAATGAGTTTTAATACATATTATAAGCAATATTCTAAAATAATAGTAAATTATAATTCAAAACCTAGGAAATTAGCATTCGTTTCTTTTTGTATAAACATACAAAATATGCTGTGCTTCTTATTGTACAGCTTAATGTTAAAAAAATATCAATACAAATAAAAATTTAATTCATATTATTATACTTTTTATCATTATTATTATTTTTTTTTACAGGTAAGTTTAAACGCCACATAGCTATCGAAAAAGAAATATTATAAGAGGAAAATAACACAATCTAGTAAGTATTTATTTATATTTCTAAACACATAATTATAATTGATTGAAAAGAATATTTTTTTGGAATAGCGAAAAGATTGGTATTAAAAATAGTGCAGTGCTAAATTTTTCTTTACGAATATGATTGGAATATTGATATTCTTCACAAAAACATATTCATAAATGTGTACATAACAGAATAATGTAAATAAATTATATCCTGTACAACAATAGATTTTAGGAAAAGCTATACCACTTCACTGGCTTACAAAATACATTCTATGAATTAATCATACATATATATATATATATATATATTAAAATATATTATTTTATTTATTAAAATATGTTCAAACATATCATAATAAAAAATAAGCACACGAATTTATACTAAAGAACAAAGATACCACTTAGTACCGATTTACACGAGCATTATCTAAAAATAATAGCAAATAATTTACTTTGTCAATTTATTTATTTCTTATTATATAAGATCTATATCAGTTGAGACCTAATTTTATAATAAAATTAGTTTGCACATATTTCTATTAATATAGCATATATTTCTAAATATAAACATAATCAATATCATTAATCAAGTTCAGACAATAAATGGTGTACCTAAAATATGCTACTCAATAGATCTAATGTATTTTGCACAAAAAAATAAAATAAAAAATTTATCCTTGAATTTTTATTCAATACATATTTATTTTCTTAAAATTCTCACGTCATTTATCTGCATAAATGTAATTAATTAAATGTTATATTAATTCCTAACCAATTTTATTGGAAACAAAAACATTTTATATATTGATACATAATGAAAAAATAGTGGGTGAGCAAATAAGTCAATTAAGATTTTCGGAATAAAATAAATTATTATTAACAAATTATTAACATCCGGGTGAAACTTCGTAAATAGCTTCATCTCATCATAACGTGCAAATATTTTATATACGAAAATTCCCGGAATTAGGGCATTTTAATCTGGCGGTCGGCAAATTTTGTCTATTCAATTAGGTACCAAAAGCTCGTAAATACCTATTTGCTTTCGACTTTAATCGTAAGATAACTTAAGCACAAAGTCGATAAAAAAGATGGCCTAAAGATATTGTGCCGTTTGGCGTGACCTATACCTCAGTATTGTCAAAATAACCAGGTTTTATAGGCTAAATATTTTTGAAGGCCATCTTTTTTCTGGACTTCGTGCTCAAATTATCTCATGATTTAAGTGGAAAGAAAGTTGGTATTTACGAGTTTTTTGGACCTAATTAAATAGTCACAAGTGAAAACTAATAATAGAAAAAGTAAAAATTTGCAAATTCAACATTATATTTTGTAAAATTGCTTTAGCCTAATTGTGTTTTTTAGTGGATATCATCGATTCGGGATTAATTCGATAAAGTTAAATGTAGCTTTCGATTATACTAACTTCAAGTAAAATAAATAAGCTCTCCTAGGCACAAACTCGAGGTATGATTATACACAATGGTCTAAGAACGGAGAAACTATTTTCAAGGTGTTCTAATGATTTTAAATTTCTTGTGTTTTTAATTTAGTCCATAGTCACATATTCCAACATCTTCGGTAGGAATAAAAATACTACTTACCAAAATTTTCAGTAAGTATAAGCAAAAAGCCTGTCTCTACCAAATTATTTTTACAGCTTGTTATATTTAATCAAATATATGTTTGGTATGTTTGTTGATCTCTGAAAATCAATTTTTGTTGTATAATTTTCTGACAAAGTGAAATAAGGTATTCAATGGGTATTGGATATTCGTAACTTTTCAGAATAAGAACCTTGCGAAAACGACCGCCAAGATCTGATTGTATTCAAAATGTCATTTAAGCCATCTGCCAAAGCTGTATTCAAAAATTCAGTTGCAGTAACATATGGCCTTTGTAATTATTAAAAAAATTCAGTCAAAAAAGCTGCAAAGATAAAAATTCCATCTATTCATAAATAAATTAATACCTGATATAAATTAATTTACTTTCCGCCATAGAAATTTGAAGGAAAGGCCTAGAAACAAATAAACTGGAAGACAATACGAAAAAAGAGATTCAAGAAAAAAATCAAACAAACGTTGATTAAAAATTGATACCGGAATAATATTTCAGCTCATTTATTTATAAGTTTATAAGCTCATTTATTTATAGCATTTATTTATAATTTATCTTCATTTACATGTAGACAGATTTGCTCTTGTTTTATTATCACAGTTTTTTCGAGTCTATCTACATCCTCATGACAATAATAATATTATTACTATTAATAAAAGTTAAAAGTTCCTAGTCTGAATAATATGAGATTATTAATTTTTAAAATAAGTCAAACTAAAGGTACTTTAGATGAAGACGTATATGAACAGTGGGCATTTATCACAGTAAAGTTACATCAATAGGGATAAGACCTGGTTGATATTAAAGACCACTTAATTATACAATGATACACTGAGTTAAGTCAAAATCGTTAGAGAAGTTTGTGAGAAAATTATAAAACTGTCTTGATATAAAGTGACACTTCCGGGTAGCCGATTTTAAGAAAAACGTTGCTGGCACACCTAAGGCAAATACCTATCTTAAATACATAATATCAGTTTCGTGCGACTTTTCGTTTTTTGAGCTAGACTGCTAACATAAACACACACAAACCATTTTTCGGGACTTGGTTATTTGGACTCAGGGTACTCTAAAATGCGTATTTCCGTTGAAAACTCATTTTTGAATGAAAAATTTTCACGATCACAAAACGCAGCCTTACGCATATATTAAATATATAGGTAAGTGAAAGTCAAAAACCGTATTCCTTCATCAATGTAGATAGATTTCCTCGACGTCAAATAGTTATAGAAATACTAAAACAACCTCTCAAAATGTTTTAATAATTATATATAGTTTTTTCATTATATTTTTCCATATTTAGGTTATAAGAAACTTCACCTCGTTATTGAACTTTATCTATATTGTAAATAATAAATATTTTTATAATTGATTCGGTAAACAGCACCATACAATACATTTTAATTTTGCAACTTAATACATATAAAATACACTTTTTATTTATACTTAAAAAGATGAACTATAATAAAAACGGTTGTTGATGCACAAATGGTATTAAATAATTCGTTTTTCAGATATGTTGCCTACATTAAGAGCTCTCCAGCTCCAGGGTGTTCAAGTTTTAACTCCTGTTCCGATCACTGTGGGCCGTGCTTCCTGTCATACCTCACACCTGCAGTACGGTTCCTCCAGAGGCCTTATACCTGACGATGTGATGGTAGTACATGAGTTTTGACGTACCTCTAGGTCGGCTTCCTCCATGTAGCTCCCTACAGCCACCTGCCCTTCGATCATAGGCCGCCCTGTTAACATGGCCGAACAATCTGAACTGTCGGCCCTCAGTCCCTTCACGAATGGGCCGTATCTCAGCCATTGAGAGGAAAGAGTACACAATTATCTTTTCTCTTCAGCACATAGATGCCATGTAATGAACACTTTATACACCATTTTTTCAACTTTAACTATTATTCATTTACTCTTAGAGGTAACATATTTCTAACTGTATTTTACTGTACTGTATGGCTGTACTCAAAAGTGTAAAGCGGAAGGTCGTAACAACCAAGATGTCAATCGCCTAAGATAAAACGTTATAATCTGAATCCGACTGTACCAGAAACTATTTCTGTCATTAAAAGGCACAAACGTTACGCTAAACGAGCGATAAGTCAAGTGAATAGCCTCTTACAAAAAGGAAAACTTATCTGAAGTGGTAGACTATCTTCACTTTATCCTAGTCCATTGCCTAATAAAGTAATAAATGTATTGTATGGTGCAATTTAACAAATCAATTATAAATATTTATTACCTACAATATAGGTAAACTTTAATAACGAGGTGGTTTCTTCTAACCTAAATGTGGAAAAAAAAATGAAAATAACTATATATTATTATTAAAGAATTTTGAGAGGTTTTTTTAGTATTCCTATAACTATTTGACGTTGAGGAAATCGATCTACATTCAAAAAGGAATACTTTTTTTTAAATTATTAACTTCTTAAAAATAGGAACTTTTAACTAATAATAGTAATAATATTATTATTGTCATGAAGATGTAGATAGAATCGAAAAAAAACTGTGATAATAAAAGCCTAATAATTTTATGGGACTAATAAAGCAGCCACTGTTGATGGTAAACTTATAATATAATAAGTTAACTATTAATACGAATCATTCATAATTGTATCAATAAGTCAAGAACATGACCTTTTAATTTTAAAGATATCTACTTGATGCCGATGTTTCGCATACACTGCAGGACTATTTTACGAGAAAAAAGAACAATGATGATGAAAATAATATGAATGCAAATGTATAAGAATTGGACTGGAGAAAAAATAATAAGACTAGAATAAACTATACATATTTAAAAAAAAAGTATTAAAAGGATAACAAACACAACGAAGATACGAGAAAAAAAAACTACTTTTTTAGTCGGATAAAATTTAAAGAAGATATTTAGCGCCAAAACATTTTAAATACATCATACTAAACTGACAGGCAAAAAATTCCACCCACTTGATTTTTTCAAGTTTTCATCTAAAAATATTTCTGCTTTGGATTGGTCTAATGTTTTTAATGAATAAATAAGTAATCTTTTTGATGAAATGATTCTAGATTCCAATGTTTACTTTCTATGGAATCAAAATGTTTATTCAGTGCCGTTTCTTGCAGCACGTTTCTTAGTCTCCGGCTTTTAATTTTTTTAATATTAAGTTTAAAAATGCCTCTTAGTGCTGAGGATGTTGCGCGTGGCACTTATTGATGATGGACGTTCCATATGAAACTATAAGAGTCGCCGTCAGGCGTTTTCGGGAAACAGGTTCTTACAATATAAGACCCGGTTCTGGACGACCTAGGGTAACAGAACCACGGGATGACCGGTTTTCAACTTTAAGAATTTTACGAAACCGGATCCTTACTGTTGATCAAGCGATTCATCGGCTCGAAGAAGTTCGAGGTGTGCAAATTTCTGAACGTACCGCTCAGAGAAGATTAAATGAGTATAGATTAATGGCTTTTCGTCCAGTAAGAGGACCAGAGTTGACCAGGACTCACAGAGTAACACGGCTGGCTTTTGCTGGAGAAGCCATTGGACTATGGACTAATGGAGTGCTGTACTTTTTACGTTTACTCTTCGATCTCCAGAAGGGCGTGAAAGGGTGTGGAGAAGAAGAAACGAAAGATATGCAGTCTGTAATTTTTCCCAGAGCTAACCTTTCCAACTTGGTTCCTTAATGGTGTGAGCTGGGATTTAAATGGAGCGCCGCACAGACCTTGTTGTTGTTCGTGGAGGGTCTTTGACGGCCCTTCGCTATGTAGATGAGATTTTGGAACATCGTATGTTGCCTATCCTCAACGAAATCGGCGATCGTTCTGTTCTAAAGCACGATAATGCACGCCCACATGTCGCCCGCATAGTGCAGACGTTTCTTCAACAGAACAATATTGAGGTTTTTGCCTGACCAGCACGTTCTCCAGATTTGAACCCCATTAAGCATTTATGGGATAACCTCGGAAGACGAAAAGAGCAAGTGCAACACTTCCGGATACACTGAGAGACCTTGAAAGGGCTCTTCCGGAGGAATGGGCTATCCTCCAGCAAAGGGATATTTCCCGACTGGTGGAAAGTATGGCGAGGCGTCTTCAAGAAGTAGTAAAGGCAAGAGGACGAAACACGCGCTACTAAACGATGATGTAATTAATTTCTTTTAGAATAATTAATTTCTTTTTCTAATCCTTCTTACCCAATAACATTTTGATTATTAAAGGTAAAAAAGATTATAAAATTCCATAAATACTAAGTATTATCTACAAATACCATGTATTATATACAAATACAACTTTTATTACAAGTGGGTGGAATTGTTTGCCTTTTAGTGTGTATGTATATGTATATATATATATATATATATATATATATATAAAATTGTTTTAAGTTATAAATACATCGTTTTTCAGAAATTACTATGTATGCTTTGATGTAGTAATGAACTAGAAAGGACAGGTATGTATACTTAAGTGAAGATAATCTACAAGTTAAAATATGTTTTGCTTTTGTAAGAGAATACTCACTTGACATATCGCTCGTTTAGGATAACGTTTGTGTGTGTATATATATATATCACATGTGTATTTGATTAACATATAATATACACTCTTCATTCGTAACATTAAATGAAGAAATTATATTTTCTCATATGGATTGAAGAATTTATCGAAATATTTACAATTGATGTGACCTTGAGCTCATGAAAGATAAACTAATAAATGGCATATACATTTAAAGAAAAAACTATATTCTACAGCTGTCTTGTAGAACGAAAAGCTGTGGTGTTAAAAAGACGAGTTTCACAAAAAACGTGAAACTAAAATAAATTCTGCGACAATAGGCAATTTAAGTTAGTGAATATCTTTGTTAACTGGACTATTATACTTTCATCTTAAATTTGGAGCAAAAATTTTACTCCAAAATAAAAAATTAAATATTTATTTCTTCTCATGAATAGTTTTAGTTCCTGTACCAATGAACTTTCCAATATGGCATTCGATATCTTATTTTATACAGATTTGTTTAATTTATTATTTTCTTTTATTACAATCTGTATTCAGTTAATTTCTTTTATTTATAAAATTCACCAGCCAAACAACTACGACAATAACTGCAAAGAAGGTGACTTATATGGGCATACTTTTTGAAGGTAAAATTGAAGGATGACTATAATTCAGTCTGCAGGGGATTGGACTTACAATGTAGTTTAAATTATACAATTAAAAATATATCTTTAGCGGTCAAATAAACGATATTTTTCAACATAAACTACTTTACCAGAAATATCATGTTTTGAAAAATTATTGAAATAAAAAATATAAATTATTAATTACGACCAATATCAATCAAATTATGAATTTCGTTCATTTTCGAATGAATGCATTCAAGTCTGCAATGAATGCAAAACATGTTTTAAACTTCTGAAAGAAACCGTGAATAGGTGACATTTTTTTCAAATAATTTATTTACTATAAAAAGCCCGTCGAAAATGAAAAATAATATGTTATTTAACACAATCATTAAATAAATATTAATAGATTAAATAGTGATAACATTTTCACAAATCGCTGACGGAGAAAGCAATCGTGAGGCTAAATATCTTTAATCAATATTTTTTAATTTTTTTTTTGGTGTTTATCTTTAACCTCTGTAGATCTTCTCAAAAATTAATTATTTTAATTAATCATAAAAAATTATTTAACTTTAAAGGGAACATAATATAAAATAGGAAATAATAAATAAAAACATGTAATTCACTATCAAGTCTGAAAGGAGATGGTCCGGGGTGGCGGTCATAAAAAGAACTTGAAATAGTGAACAACTATTTGATTTAAAGCCTACGTTTCGACTCAGTAATTTACGATCAAATCACGATGAGAAGAATAAAGAACCGAAAGAAGCTTTACAAAAATCAAATGGTTTAATAGAATTGAATTGTCGCTCCGTGGCCTCAAATTGATGGTCGTGCTTCAATAGGGAACAAAGGGATTATTTTTTGTAGAGTATCTTCCTTTAAAATAGAAATCAAACGACATATTCCAGTAAAGTTAGGGGAGAAAACATTCAACCTTACACCAACAACAAAAAAATAAAGATGAAAGCAATCAGTAATTGTTTATTAGCCTCTCCATAATAACAGGAAAAAAGTCGCACAGAATCCCAAAAAGAATTGATAGGGGGAGGGAAGGAAGGACAGGAAACTGATATTCTATTATTTTTTTTAGAATATCTTAAAAAATAGTAGGTTTTTAGCAAAGATTGTTCAGTTGTGATATTAAAGTACTTTAAAATCTCTACAAAAAAGATCCTATACATGTTTTTGATTTTTTTTTTAACGTTTTTTTTCGATCGTTCAGATTATTATTTAAAGTTTCTTTCTTTTAATAATTCTAAAATGTCATGGAGAACAGAATTATTTTCGATATCAATCAATGGGGAATTTCAAGATAATGATATGAAGTTTAAATTGACATCAAATTTATATAATTGATAACATCTGTTAAAGACATTAAAATTTATGAAAAATTATCATAAACAATGGCCTAATTACAAACAGAAAACAAGGAAACGTAAATTTTGTAATTTTAAGCCAAGCATGTTTTATGTTGAATAAAAAACAATAACAAAAAAATGTTAAATTTAGGATACAAATAAATAGTTCAGAGTAAACTAGTACAAATTTGCATTCAATGAGAGTAAAAAATTGCCTATTTAAAAACCATTTAAACGGAGCTTTAAAGTAGATAAACTACGATATGTTCAGTTTTTGACAAAATCTTAAATTCTTTGAGATTATTAGTCCCCAACAGGCCTAAAGATACTT